CATTTCTTAGTGATAAAATGACTGAAAAGTTAAGAGAAGCAGAAATTCACTTGTGTCACTTATACATATATAATATCTTGACTATTACAGGGTTTTTTTTTTTTTTAAACAGAAATTAAATACCACCAATAACAAGAACGGTGATTGAAGCCACAAGCAAACATCTGTCATTAATGACTCCACATTTTATGTATTTTATAACTGTCCTCTTATAAACATCAGTAGCTTCCATAAATAAATCATCTATAATTTTCATAATAACCTTCCTGACTCAATTCTAGTATTTTTGACTTACACCTATACATGCTCATTGAATCAAATCAACTCTAGACTGTAAGCTCAATTGAGCAGGGCCTTAATCTACCTATTGTTCCTGTGTCCCTGTGTAATTGTCTCATTTATTGCAAATAATATTATTGTGAGTCACTGCGGAATTAGTTGGCGCTATTTAAATACCAATAATAAATAATAATACATGCTCATTGAATCAAATCAGAATTTCAAAAGGGATGTGTCCAAGGGATAGACATTTAAGTTCATAATATAGCACTCCAATTACTTTAGTATGATAATTATTGGCCACTTGGTAGTAATATTGACCTGTTGTATTAAAGCACATCCCGTGATTATAGTAATATAGCAAGTGGGCAATATAGCACATACAGGAGTTACAGTAATAATGCCAATTTGTTATACAGCACATCCAGTGATTATTGTAATGTTGCCCACAGATATTTTACTGATCCAGTGGTTATGGTAATGTAGTCCACTTGCTATATAGCATATCCCATGATTTACTCTCAGGTCCAGGACACTCCCACACAAAACAAGATAATTCCTCCCCTGTGTCTGGGAGATATTTGAGTCAGGAACTGTACTAAACTCAATTATCTCCAGGTACCAAAAACACACATTTTAACAACCTCCCGAAAGTACCCCTAAAACACATGGAAACCCCACAAAAGTCACATCCCCTGATAGGCCCAATCTGGAGGCCCCTGCCCAAAAGAGTTCCATGAAATCAGGCTATATGGGTGGTCTCTTTCAGGAGTTCACAAAACAGTAAAAGTACCAAATGTAGCAGTTCATGGCTCACTAAGTGGGTGCCTGGGGCGAACTTTCACACGGGCGGCATTTCGCCACCCCTGTGTCTTTTGAAAAGGGACCGGTGTGCCGTGTTCGAGTATCCACGCGATTTCCCATCCAGCAGCAGAAGGTCCTCTGTTCTAGTGATCTGCGAGAGAGAACCCGCGGCAACGTTTCTGCAGATCGAGAGAACAGAGGACCCTGCTGCTGCTTCTGGATGGGAAACGAGCATGCAGAGTTCTGGGCCCCTCTTCACTGCCCAGTGATGCTGTGCCTCCGGACCACCAGTCGAGGAGGACGGGATGGGCAGGTAATAATACAGCACTTATTCCACACTACATGCACACACTATACACATACTGCATCCAGTATACACACACTGCATGCACACACACTGCATGCACACACATCATACACTATAAACACACTGCATACACACACATTGCATACACTGCATATACACACACTCTGTATACACATACTGCATACACACACTGCATAAACTATACACACACTGCACTACTCTATCCTCCTTTTATTATTAGGGATTATGAATTATTATTTCTCATGGGGAGAGTGATTTCGGCATGTTATTGCAATGGACAAAGTCTAAACAAAGTTCAATTTCAGTTGTTAAGCTAATTTACCCACAATCCATCAGTCAAAATAATTCTACAGAAGGGCTAATTGCCAACATCATCTACTGAGGAGGAAAAAAAAAACAGAAGTACTCCTAAATCAATGTAATCTAATTTTTTTTTTTTTTTAAATAAAATGAGGTGGAGGTTTGTCCAAATGGGCAGCATTTCCCCCTTTTTTTTTTTTTTTTTGTAAAAAAAAATGTGCTGGAGGACTGATAAGTATGAGATAGAAACAAACATGTTATATCTGTCCGTATGGGTTTTATAGTGCGCTCTTGATGGATGCTAGAGATGAAAAGCAACTAATCATATCAAGATTTTTGGACATGTTCTTGGTTTACACTGCTCAGACACGCATTGTCTGCTCAGCTAGGATTTTTTATATCACTCATTCAATTCCACCTACAGTACTGACCTGACTATGCCGTACTTATCTCCATGAACCTATGCCCTGTGAATCCTTAGATCTGTGAATATATCAAGTGAATATTATTTTGTTTCATAGTTCTGCAAACCAGTACGATTAAAACCGAGCAAATCTTCAACGAATTACAAAGACTCTCTGAGTTAAAAATGAAAATCATCCTCAAGAACTATTAGTCAGTCTTCCCCTTTATAAAGTTGCTCCACTTGCAGCTTTTAGATATGCAGCTATCACTAAAAATTACTGAACTCTTAACAGAAATAACTGCAATCATATCTTCATTCGAGGTAAATATATAGACCTACCTTGCGAACTTTACTTTATTAAACAATAAAATGAAATAGTGACATTTTTGTGACAGATCTTGTAAAATTAGTCACATTTGTACACTGATTATATGTCTTTCATGCTTTGTGTTTAATAGATGTTATGAATATGTCATTAGCTTTTTAAAGATTATAATAAGGAACCTGGGACTCCCTTGTCCTGTTCATAAGGGTGTGCATTGATAAACTTGCATGTTGATTGAATAATGATGGTTTTAATAATCTGTTAATGGACATTTATAATGTAGTATGGTTACGCTACTAAGACACATTATATACCTACACATTTTATTATGTATGCTCATAGTAAAGATTGATTTATGACATTTTACTGGAAAAGGACAGTGGTTTCACAAGATGAGCATGCATTCTCATTCATAAAAGTTGGACAATAGCGTTTTTACAAGTGGTTATGTAATGTAGTCTTTTACATACTGAATTCCATTGTTATCTGGACACGGCTGACTAACACGTATTTCACTGATACATTGTATAGTCATATCTATGAACATTTTCATTGATAATGTTTGACGGTCAATGTCAATGTATTTGAGAATTAGTATTCTTCAATCATTTTTTAAATGAGAAAATTGTAAAACATGGCAGTTTAGTCAGATATCCCGCAAATATCCTCATTTATCTAACCCATAACAAAAAAGTGTTTAATTTTATTAAAAAGCCCATTTGAGTGGATATTATACTATTAAAATAGTAACACATATACATACATATCTTACATTTTCTATTGTATTGTGTTATTTAAAGGCTCTGAACAAGGTGAGCTTAATAACTAATTTTAATTTATATGGTATTTCACTTGCTTGTACTACACATTGAGTCTCTCTCTCTTTTAATTTTCCAGAGGAAATATCAGAGTGGAAGAGTGGTGTGATGATGCCCAAAGTGCATGCAAGCCTTACTTATAGAGCGAATATAAATAGGCTCTTTTAAATGTGAGTCATCCATTTTTCTCCAAAATAATTTTATATTTTGTTACCATCTACACGATTTTTTTTATTATTTTATCTTTTATATATTTGATACACAGGGTTGTTACAAGATAATGTGGGGTAAGTTACCCCCCTTACTTATGGCACTCCACTAAGGGTATAGGTTTTGCTTGTAGGGGTGTATATAAAAAAAATACCCCTTTCTGTCTCATTAGAGTATCTTTGCCAGAAATTCAAGGAAGCAAGGTTAAAGGTTAGTGTAGGACCCACCAGAGAGGTTTGCCTTGACGTGGCAGGTGGGCTCTACTCTCTCTCATGGCCATTGAAGAAACTAAATAAATTCAATTTATTTAAATTTGCATAGGGATTTGGGAAGAGCGCAGGTAACTTTTTTTCTTTGCTTGTACTACCTGTTGTTTTTTGACTATATGTAACAATGTCTAGATTTTGCAAATTAATCAGGGCTCTGATTATAAGCATCAATTAAAAATCTGAGCCCTTTGCCAGGTGGCACACTAACAGGCAGCAGGCAAATAGTTAAAAAAAACAAAAAAAAAAACTTTGCAGAGCTAACGTATGTGGCAGCTAGCTAGTATGTGATAGTCAGCTGCGTCATTAAAATAAAAAAATCAGGTCTCATGACCAACCAATCAATGCGTTCTAGTGACTTTTTTATTTTATTTATTTTTTTAATTCTTTATTTTTGTTGTGCGTAAGTTTATAACAATTGCTTGTGAGGTACCCCAAAGGCAATCCTCTAGCACATTTTAAACATTGTAACGTGAAGGTACAGGAAAATTCTAGCACAGGTTTTTTATATATATATATATATATATATATATATATATATGTCGAGTATTAAACAACATGTGTTGTAGTAGCTTAGTCTCTTCTATGACATAATAGCAACAATGCGTAATAGTATGGTTAGGTTGTGAATTGACATAAGCCTACATACATTTATACAGTCTAATAGGTGTACGTACAGGCAAGCCCTCAGTTTCTCTATAGACTTTAAACAGGCTGGGGTTGCTATATTATTCCACTCCAACTAGTAAAATAGTGCCTATTAGTTGAGCATTTACATAGTAATAGTTAACGATCTAACACATGCTTAACTTGGGTCTAGATCTAGGTTCTGAGTGGAATCAGTTGCTTATACACATAGATTTCGCGTGGAGCATTAAATGGGTGTCAGGTTTAAGCACCATCTGAGGCTACCAAGTAATTTGGCATAGGTTAGGCATCTTATGTTATTCAGGGTAAACTCGATGGTTATACAGGTAGCTCTAACTAGATATAATAAGTAAAATAATAAAGTAGATTAGTAACAGTGGAGTTTACATTGATATTTGTACTATTTTTGGTTAGCGTATGAAGACTTGTTCAACAGAGATTAATGGCAGGCACTAACTGTGAGTCATAAAATATTTGGTAACTAACTGTGCGTTGGTATGTTAAGAGCAGATAGCAGTAGCTTGCCAATATTGTCTGCCTGGGTATCAACAGCTGGAATATAGCAGTAAGTCCTGAGGGTGGGCACGGGTACCTCGCTCGGGCGCACGTGGCACTGTCAGCCGATGCCCCGGCTTGGTAGGTCCGTATCGTCCCTGGGGTTCATCGGTCGCTGTCCTTGCTGCCTCGCCGTGCAGAGTTCCGCCTGTCTGGTGCGGATGAGGACATCCAGGCAGTCACTCAAGGCAGCAGCGGTGAGGAGGGAGTTCTTCCCTTGATCTAGTACCGGGTTGAGAGTCTTGTCGCTGCATGCTCGGCAACCTCCTGTTGTCGGCTGTCGTCCAGGCTTGGTCCTCACGCTAGAGTTCAGTCCCATTAGTGTAGAGCCGCGGTGTCTCGGTTGCGGGAGTTCTCTCCTGCCCCAGAGCTGTGGGAGAGCTGGCGCTCGTAGGCCACGAGCCTGGGGACCTTCATGGTCCAGGGTCGGCCCTTTCGGGGTGGTGCGGGGAGTTAGATCGGGTCGCTTGGGTGTTCGTCTTGCCTCTCTCCGCTTGTGTGGCCAGCGCCTCTGGGGGACTCCCCTTCTTGCTCTCAGCTCGGGAGGGCCTAAGATGTGGGGTTTTGATGCCAGGGTCTGAAAGTTGCCCTGAGGAGGACTCCCATGCTCCCGTCCGCCACTTGCTCTTACCCTCATGGGTGATGTTTGGCAGGGCCCTGCGGGCTGTAAGCGTGTCTGTAATTTGGCCCAGAAGCGGTCAAAGATTATTGTGATGGGATCTTTTGCGTGGTCCCCGGCGTCCTCTGCATCCGGAGGTCGCTGTCGCTTGTCAGACACTGTCGTGTCGGAGTGATCCGCCATCTTGGGCACTCCCGTCCCCTCGCTTCTTATGGAGATCTTTATGTTTGTCTGTTGGTGCAGGGTTCGGGATAGCCCGCCAGGCGGGGACCGGGATAACCCCCACCGGTCCATAGGGGGGGGGGGGGTGTGTGTGTTTTGTACCCGCGTGCCGCAGTTGGAATCCAGCGGGAAGGCGGCCGTCCTTCCCCCCTACTTCCACTAGGCCTCATTTTACCGCTGCGGTTCCAGGTCAAGTCAGGCTTCAGGTTAGGTACCGGCATGTTCGTGGTTGCTTCCCCCAGCTCACAGGCAGGTTTGTGGGGAAATCGCAGCAGTTATTCCTCAGATTTCTGTAGAATTTGGGCCTACACTGCAGGAGCTCATGCAATGTGCGTCTAGTTAGCTTGCCTGTTCGGCTCCGCCCCTCTAGTGACCTTTTTAAAGTGTGAGGGGTAAGTATTTTTTTTAAATTGTATTTTGGGGAGAGGATCGGAGACTCCTAGCCACTGGCTAGGGTAGAGAAAGGTATCACCCCCACCACTTATGTACTCTTTTGACCTGTCGAAGTAAGGGGATATGAGTGTGTCTTCGCAGTGTAGCTACAGATTTATTAATGAGTTCCTAAATATGCTATGAAATCAATTAAAAGCTACAGTGTTCCTGTCTGTCACCTCGCGGTTGGGAATCTCTGCTGGTAAATCTGGATTTTGGTGGTATTTAGTTTATAGTTGCTGAAACAATCTAACAGGGACATTAGTGGTGGAAGAAAAGATTCTGGGTAAATTATGGTCAACAACTGATCAATAATGATCAAGAAGATGTTGTCTGCAAATAGAGATACCCGATATTTTCTGCCACTAACTTGCATCCCTTGAGTGGCAGGATGTGTCCTGATACTGTGGGCTAGTTGTTCGAGGGGAAAGAACAAATAACAGGGGAGACAAAAGGCATCCTTGCATTGTTCCTTTGGTTACTGGGAATGCATCGGAAGTGAACACCGCGTTAAATACCTTAGTTGTTGGTACAATGCCATGATCAGGGTGTGTCAGGACTGGGGTAACCCCTACACACAGGAATAAGGATGTTAGCCAAAATAGAAGGAAGAACAGGATACGTATACCGGACCTTAGAGTGGCCGGACTTAACGTATGCCTAAAAAGGCAAGAAATCGTAGTAAAAAAGAATGCCTAGGTCAAGGAATACAGAGGTACAGAAAAATGAGAAAACAAGCCAAGTTCCAAGGAATACAGGGAGTCAGAATAGTCAAAACACGAAACCAGGTCAGCAACAGGAAAAACAGAATAATAATAAACACACTCTCAGGCTAACAAGAACCACAACAGGGCAATGATTCCCAGAAAGCGGGTACTGATATAGGGCTAGAAAGAATACTATTGGACACCATCATCACCCTGCACCAGGACACACAAAGGGGTGTCACCTGTGCAAGACGTCCAACAAATATAACATCACTAAAAGGTGAGTATAAAGTGTAAAAACCACAGGGTCCTGTAATTTCAAAGGACCCTTGTAGGTGGCATGAGGTTGCAATGGAAATTAGGCAATCGTGCAGAGCTGTCTGCAGTTCCATGTAGGTATCCAGGAATGTGGCATTCACCCCCAGTGAGAGCAGCGTAGGACTGGAATCTTCGTGGCTGCTGCACGTCACCCCCAGGTATGACAGGGTGACCAGATCCACCATATTTTCTGGGACACATATTGGCAGTACATGAAAAGGGTAGCATGGTAGTATGTGGAGTTCAGAAAAAAAGGTGTATTAGAATAACCAATTAGGTAATGAAGAATCCAGAAATTAGCAGTAGGCAATAATGCAGAATGTGCATTATACACACTGCAGGGAAATGTTTTTCATGCGTTTTCATAAATATGAGAAACTTATATGTGTCCCTGTAAACATAGAGGATCTGGTCACCCTGGCCATCAAACTAGTAACTGAGGAGTCTGGAAAACTGTATTTAAAGGGACACTATAGTCACCCAGACCACTTCAGCTCAATGAAGTGGTCTGGGTGCCAGGTCCCTCAGGTTTTAAGAAACTGCTATGTTCACATTTGGGGTTAAGCCAGCCTGCAAATCTGTTGGCTATATAATCTTCCGGACAGCCACTAGAGGCGCATCTGCGACGCTGGAGGCATATTATGCCTCCATCGCGCAGAGCATCCATAGGAAAACCTTAAGAAATGCTTTCCTATGGACACTTTGAATGCGCGTGTGGCACTTGCCACGCATGTGCATTCGGCTCCGCTGATGTCAGATGGGGGAGCTGACGTCGGCGAGGTAGGAGAGGTCACCAGTGCCGAGGGAGCCCGGCGCTGGAATAAAGCAAGCTGCTGAAGGGGTTTTAACCCCTTCAGTGCCACTCACCCTCAGGGCACTATAGTGTCAGGAAAACCGCTTTGTTTTCCTGACACTATAGTGATCCTTTAAGAAATAGTTTGCTCATGTATACCAAGTAAAGTGTGTCAAAGGACTTTTCTGCATCTAACACTTCCTTAACGATGCTTGCTCATACGATGGAGAATGTTAATAACTCTCCTATTGTTGTCCAATCCTTGTCTAGTTTTGATGAATCTAGATTGATCACAATGGATCAGCTCTAGCATATTGGCCAGTATTTTGGCATGTAATTTTGTGCCTCCATTCAGCAGTGAGATGTGGCAAAAGTTTTGGCAGCTGTGAGAGGATTTACCTGGCTACGGGAGAGTGACTATATGTGTTTCTAACATTTTATTCGGGAGGGATCCTTTTATGTAGCAGCTATTGAAGAGTGTCAACATATAGGGAATCAGAATCTCAGAATTTTGGACAGAAAATATTTAGAAGGCCATCAGGACTTAGGGATTCGAGGGCAGGTGATTTCTTGATGACTGTCAAGATCTCTTGCTCATCAAAACATGCAGCCAGTTGGTGAAGGTCCTCGTGGGACAGGCCAAATAGTTGTATGATAGACAGGAATGTGTCTAGTTCTGATGGAGTCAGGACATGAGTATGTGTATAGTCTTCATGGTTATATAGTTTCTTTTAGTGGCCTGCAAATCTGTTGGCTATAGACTTGGGATTTATAATTTTTGTGACATCTGAAGCAATTTGTGTGTGGACTTGATATTTTTTAAGTTGGGATTCTAGCAATGCACTGTCTTTATTATTGCCCTGGCCAACAAATAATTGTTTCTTTTTTTCTCAGTATGAAAGTAGTCTGGATTTAGGGAGTCCAGCATCCTCCTTTTTGAACGACCACCAGTCACAGGGAGAATGAAACATAGGTGTCCTTGCTCTCAGATGAAATGAATGCAGGAGAGGTTGCACATTCTGCACCACCTTGGTCCTTGTTGGGTGGTTTACAAGCCAGAGCTGTTATTTGTAGCAATGCAGGTGCTGCCTTCTGTTTTTTTAGTGGATCTATGTGCTATAACTGCTGAAGGTAAGAATCCCCTTAGTTGGTAAGATTTTAGCTGTGTAAAATGTGCGAAAACTCACGGAAAGTTGCCCTTGGGAGACAGAGCTGCAGGCACATGCATCTTACCCCGTCAGAGCCCTACACGTTTCATTCTAGACATAGCACTTCCTTAGGGACCTCTTCAATTTAAAAAAAAATGATGCAATACAAACTTGCAGTTAAAAAACCTGCAGGTATTGCATGAAATTGTTTTAAATTGAAGAGATCCCTGAGGAAGTTCTATGTCTAGCACAAAACGTGGGGGAGGGGGGAAGCGCTGTTTTCTTACCAATAAACCGTTTATACCATTTGATTCCTGCTTCCTTCTGGTTCCTGTGTTCCTAAGAAGTGAGGTGGATTTCCACAGCCTCCCCCATTGATTAGGAGTGGCACCATTAAGGCGCTTTGACTATTTCCATCCTGTGAGTGCTACCAGTAGCGTGTTTCTATACATGCCTAATACTTTATTAAACTATGTGTTGTTAATATTAATTATTAGTTGGAAATATTGGCAATAACTATGGAAAGGAGCACAATGGGCTCAGAAGACAAATGCTTCTGCAATGAAATCAGAGTAATGAACATTTAAATAAGAGTAAGAAGTATATTTTGACACAAAATATTGAGATAACCGACCCTGAGGTTTTCACAGTATAGTATTAAATTTTTTATTTTATTTGTGCATAGATTAAACAGGCAGGTTCGCACTGCAACATCAGCTGGTACAAACAGATAATCAACCATTGTATAACAGTTATGTGGCATCGATAACATTATCACATTTCTTTTTTTTAAATGCATGAGCAAAAGAGAGTACTGTAGAATCATACATTGTCATAGCATAGTGAATAGTTTTACCAAGATATAATTGAACAGGAACTGTAAGATGTTAGAGAGCATTAACTGAGAGTAGAGACCCCCCTTCAGGCATGAAGTGATTGCCCTGTGTACAGATGGAGTAATGCTGCTCAAGAGTGTCCCAGGACTGGGGTGAGAATGTCCCAAGCACATTGATGAAATCAACTGGTGTGCGGCTCCAGAAGAGTGATTAAAGGGGCTCTACGGCCCTCGGTGCGACTGGACCCTGTATCCCCTCAGGTAAGCAGGCTGGCCTAAGCATCAGAGCTTCTTTATCTGCCCCCTAAGGACTTTAATGGTCCATATAGTGAGAGTGGAAGTGCATAGCTTACGGGCAGGGGTTGGAGGAGCATGCAGCGTCTGTTCATCAGGGGAGCCTCCATGGGTGGTCTGGGATCACCCCACCAGCCCTGGGTGGGGGGGGGAGGAAGGGGGAACGGGGCACCAGACAGATGCACGGGAACGAGAAGAGATCAGCCGCTTGTCCACCCCCCCAGATGCACCAGCCAGCCAGCTTTCGGCTCTCTGTCTGTGTAGACACCAAGTGACATCAATCACGCTCAGGTACATCCCCACTTGATTCAGGAATACTTTGGAGGCAGGTTGAGTTTTTAGTAGGGGGTATAAACTGCAGATTTCTGGCGATTTTGCAGCTTAAGTGCCAGATCTCAGCCTGGATACGCTAGGCCGGCATGGCTGTCAGGCCTCGCCCTCTTCACAGTCTAGTATTAAATAGCAAAACTTGCAGACAGAAATCGCAAACAATGAGAGGATGTGTCAACAAGTCAACTGCGTGGTCGTAAATAATTAATAGAAGTGGTTGTATGAACATTCTGCTGGGATTTTAAAAAAAAGAAAGAATAATCAACAAAAGTCAAGCTTGGAAATCATGAGGGAACACAATTAAATTTAAACTTGGCCAAATAAAACCAAAATGTACAATGTTTTAAGTATGGTAATAGGTTGGTTCACACACATATTTAGGATTTCATCACCCAAAGATTAGTTGTTAAACTAGTGTTTTTGGGTATTTGGGTAAATCCTGAGTACTGTATTCTAATATCTGCTTTAAACTCACAGTAGCAAACTAAATAGAGGATCAAACTCTTATTACACTGAGCCAGCTGCCTCCCTTTTTACTTTTTTCAAACACCTGAAACCCCACCTATTTATAAAAGCTTTCCTTCCATGGTTATTTGCAAAAAACTGAACTGCTCGTTAAAAATGTAATTGGAATGTATTGAAAAAAATTATTCAATTCAGGTTTGTTTTTTTAGTTCAGCTATTTTGTCTTCTAATTTTACATTTGCTTTGACTTTCTCACAATTTACACTTTGGTGAATAACCCTGCTTGACTTACCTCCTCCGTACCAGCCCCACTCTGCCTAATATATCTGATCACCATTTACTTCAGTCTATTCTCTTTTCCCTTCCGGTGTACCAGTCCCTCTGACCTCTTATCCTCTCAGTTGCTGATATCACTCTAGTTGGAGTTCCACTAATTATATAGTTTGTTGTGTAACGTGTTTAATAAAAAATAGATTGTATGGTTCTGTGTCTGAGATTGCATTGACATTTTGCATTTTGTATATGTTCCAGCCTGTTTCTGGCTTATCAAAACCCTAGATTAATATTTATCGTACAATAACAGCAACTAAACATTAGCAAGTAAAGGTCACCAAGTCTGCATGGGATGTACTTGACAAAGTAAACACAGCCTGTCTTTAACTAAATGAAACATCCCAGTTTGCCTACGACTACTAACATCTAAGCTATAACTGTTCCTTTAAAGTGTTCAATTATCTGCTGTGCCTGTCTCCTCACCTTGCATTGTCTGAGACCTGGAATGGTATTTGCAGCAGCTGTGAGCCTTTAAGCCTGCTCCAGGCATTATCCTCATCTGCTTCATTTCTTTCTTGGAATCAGCCACCTATTGTCACCTTACAAAACCAAATTCACAGTGAATTTCCCATTGGAGCTTCATCAGCCTCCCCATCTCACTCCATCGACATTGCTGTAGATTTGTTAACCACGAAGGACAAAAGGTAAAATGTACTTAACTCGTTCATGACGACAGACTGAAAAAATGTTGTGTTATCATGAGCCTGGCATGTTATCCAGCATGTAGGGATTAACAAAACACGCAATAATTGGGGGGGAGGGGATAGAGAGGCAGAGAATGGAACATAGAATAATTAGATGTTGAGAGCAAGAGTAAAAATGTAAGATGTATCACTGTGGAGGCATCAACATCCTCTCCCAAAGCAGCAGGTTCTTCTCAGGTCAATATGAAGAATAGCGGTATACCACTGATAGCCTGAAAGAAGGATAAACAAAGTATTAATTGATCAGTTTGAAATCTGACAAGGAGACAAAGCATTATTTTCTCAGCAGTTTTATTTTCAATGTCAACAAATACACTAATGTCAGCATTTATATAATTTGTAATATAAAAATGAGTGTCTGGAATATAAAGATGAAATAGGCAAAGATAGAGTGTTGCACATAGTATGATATAATTTCACATGCGGTACAAAAGAGTGTTACACAGTTAAAAGAGTGTTAAAGGATCATTCCAGGCATCATAACTATTACAGGCCATTGTAGTGATTATGTTGCCAAGTGTGCCCTCCCAGAGTAAGTAGTCAAGCTGTTTAAGAATGATTTGACAACTTACCTGAGGTATGCATGGTGCATCAACCGGAAGCCCAGCTGTTTGGCTCATACCTTCAGCTAAGTGGTCTCAGCCAAGGAGTGTGGCCCTGCATGGCTTAGCGCAATGGTAGAGCTTTCAACTGCAGTCAAAGTTGCAATGGATGCCATTTTAAGTTGTCAGACTGTTCTTAAATGGTTTATCTACTTACTCTAGGAGGGCACAAGGACAAAGGCTGTAGTTATAATGGTGCTTAGAGGGTTTCTTTAACCCCTTAAGGACCAAACTTCTGGAATAAAAGGGAATCATGACATGTCACACATGTCATGTGTCCTTAAGGGGTTAAGTAACTTTAATAGATGATTAATCTCCATAATATAGAAAGCACTGGACAAATTATTAAATGCAGACGAGGATGCATTTCTCTATGCCAAAGGTTGGAGAAGTTGAACCACTAGCACTGAATATAGTATATACCATGCGAGGCTTGAAACCAAATTTAGAATTAAATGATCTCAAAGTAAAAAAGAATATAGTGTACAGTTGATAGCATAGATTTCAGGAATATGGAATTATTTAGGAATAAATTAAAGCATGGATTTACATATGTTGCATCAAGGCCATCGAACTGAGGCATGTGACAGTGGGTCAGAAAGATAAGTGACAATAGCATAGGGTACTGGATAAGGTGAATAGTTTCTGAAGAAGATGAAAGGGGAAAAAAATTGGACTTAAATTGGAGAAAATGGAATTGAGAATTTACTGGGTTAATATGGCACTGTGCAAGAATTTGGGGCATGGCATTGGCAATTAATTGAAGAACTGGCATTGTAGGAATATATTGAGTTAATGTGACTATAACGGAAGATAAAATGGAGGGCTAAATTATGGTACTTTTCCTAATGATATGGGGGGTGAGATTAAGCATGGGGACAGTAGTTCAATTGAAATGTGAGCTGAAGGGCAGAGAAAATCTATTTTCACGTTGTTTTAATGAAATGGGTGCAAAAAGCACTAATGTGGGTGTGTCCTCAGGAAGTGTGAGCAGGAGAACCAATTTGATCTTGGTCCCAGGGAGGACAATGTGTTATGCAAGTTCTAGCAGCATATCTGAGACAAAGCCCCTCTTGAGAGCAATTTGATTATGAACATAAAAGTAATAGGAACAATATTGCAGTAAGTAATGGGTACTATATTGAGTTAAATTAGTTTATGCTTTTCATCTAACTAACAGTACCATAGACAAATATCCTGCTCTGGTACTTGATATTAATACATATAAAAAGTGTCACACATCAGGGAAGATATAAATTATTGTGAACCCTGGGTAGTCTAAATATTACCCAGGTTATCCCTAATTTCTGGAAGAAAGCGATAAATAACTTTAAACTGTGTGCAGAGTAAAGGATCACTATAGTGCCAGGAAAACATACTCGTTTTCCTGGCTCTATAGAGTCCTTGGGTCCCCCTTCCCGCCGGGCTCTAGGGTGAGGAAGGGGTTAATCCCTTACATTTTTTTCCAGCGCCAGGCTCCCTCGGCGCTGGGGACTCTCCTCCTCCTTTCCTGTCATCGGCTGAATGCGCATGCGTGGCAAGCGCACAGCCAGCCAGTCTCATAGGAAAGCATTCTCAATGCTTTCCTATGGACGCTGGCATCTTCTCACTGTGAAAATCAGAGACAGCCACTAGAGGCTGGATTAACCCTAGTGTAAACATAGCAGTTTCTCTCTGAAACTGCTATGTTTACAGCAGAAAGGGTTAATCCTAGATGGACCAGGCACCCAGACCACTTCATTAAGCTGACATGGTCTGGGTGCCTATAGTGGTCCATTAAGGAACAGAGCACACATAAAAATAAATTTTTACATTTTAGAAGCCTATTTAAAATCACCTATCTCAAGGATTCAGTTCCACCATATGGCCATATTGTGTTAAGCCCACCTCTACTTCACAGTACCCCAATATTGATGGGTCCTACACTAATTCCTATGTGGTAGCAATATTAAATAGTACTAGTTCTTAATAAGCAAAAATATTATAACGCGCATTAGGCTTTCCCCATAGGCAAGTATAAAATCAATGCTTTAGTTTGGGGTTTTGCTTGACACTGGATGTCCTCATGCAAAGCGTGAGGACGTCCAGTGTTGTTTTATGGAGTCAAACTCCAGGAAACTGCAGGAAGTGTCTGGTAGACAGCCACTAGAGGCAGTCTTAGTACCGCAATGTAAACGTGCAGTTTATCTAAAATGCAATGTTTTACATTGCAAGGCTAAGTGGGATTGGGACACTGCACCCTAATCACATCAAAGAGATGAAGTTGTCTGGGTGGCTATAGTGTCTATTTAAATGCATGCATGTTTTATTAGGGGTATGTCTACTAAAGAGTGATATATATAATTTAAAAAAATATATATTTGGACAGTGGAGTGTCCGTTTAATGAATTTACTACAAAGTAGTGTAGGTGAATCAAAACTTCCTGTTATTAAAGCGAGTAACTGCAGCTTCAAACAGAAAAGCTTACAATACAAATCTTATTAACCCCTTAAGGACTGGACTGTTTTTGCGATGTTGTACATTTGCAACCAGGCATATTTTTACACTTTTGTGGTGTTTGTGTTTGGCTGTAATTTTCCGCTTTCTCATTTACTGTTCCCATACAAATTATATATTGTTTTTTTCAGGACAAAAGGGGCTTTCTTTACATACCATTATTTATATAATCTCATGTATTTTAATTTAAAAAAAATAAAAAATATGATGAAAAATTGAAAAAATACATGTTTTTTGACTTTTACTTGAAAAATCTTTTACTCATCTACAAAAGCGAATGAAAAAAACTGCTAAATAGATTCAAAATTTTGTCCTGAGTTTAAAAATACCTAGTGTTTACGTGCTTTTTGCTTTTTTTTGCATGTTATAGGGCTATAGGTACAAGTAGGATATTGCGGTTTCAAAACATACATTTTTAAAATTTATCAATAGTGACATTGTAACACTATTATCTGTCATAAATCTCTGAATAACACCCCACATGTACATATTTTTTTTAAA